CCATTCCCTTCGGTCGTTCTGATGACCTTTTGGTTCATCCGGATCGTTCAACTGCGGGACACCATGGATAAGGACGACCCTCTTATTTTCCTCCACTCGTGCTCCCATTGGATCGGGCTGTTACTGCATTCGTTCCGTCCATGGCCTATCAGGGGAGATTCTTATTGGGCAGGAACTCTTTCTGAGAAGGTGACTAGAAGGAAGAACGTCCTCCAAATCCTTATCATCCTTCAGGGTCACTCGGAGCAGTGTGGGTTCCCCGGCATGTGGCGACGTCGGCTGGCGCATGAGTTTTGTGAAGCCGACGGGTAGAACATTAATGCCCATCTGTGCGCACAAACCATTCCAGTGTTCCATCTCCTCTCGTTCTCTAAGTGGTTGGGTTGTCGGTTCGGGTACATTTGTGCAGATAATTGTCAAACCGGTGCTGCTTCCACCTTTTTTACCCAGTATCGAAGGCCTTGGTGTGGATATGACGGGTTTCGTTTGAAGGAGAACCTTTTTCTGTTCAGAAACTTTTACCGCGTCTTTTGTGACAGCGGAAATCATGTAATTGAAGCTGACTGAAGCTGCCGCTTACTTCAGGTCCTCGATTGAAATCCCATATATCGTTAACCAACGAGCATCATCTTCTCTAGCCTTTACAGAAAGTGTGATTTGGTTGACCGTGAGTTGGAGCGGCATCCGCTTAGCTGCAGCATCTTTATTGTCGACGTGTTGCTTTATTGAATAGTCGAGATCGTGCCCATTGTGTGATCACTTCTGATTCATGGTTATAAGACTTTGGGATTGGAACACAACCTCATGCCAACAATGATTCTCAATAACTCATATTCATGCCGTTACAGTTTATATGAGGTGAAAAAGCCTATGGGTTTGGAGGAGAAAAATAAACTGTGAGGAATCGTTCACTTTGTGTATACGTGTACCCACCCTGTAACCCTCATCAAACGACTGCATGGAGCGGTAAAATTCGCATTCACCGCCGCGCAACTACGCAGCTCTTTCAAAAGTTCGCCACCAAATAAAGACTAACTACCGATGTTAACTGTTTTAATGTCTGTTTACTCGTTCAGATGCATTTGTGACGCGTCTCTACGTCGTTTGAACGACACAGCACCGCAGTTATCTATCCGCATGAAAGAACACCGTCCGCGCTGGCTAAGTCAAGGTGGTTCCGGATCGATCACAAGTGCGAGTCTCGCCCACTTGATAGACACTGACCATCGTGATAATCCAAGTGAAGCATTCCGCATTATTTGTCAGGTTCCTCCGAATCGGTGCTAATATGTTAGAATGCGTATGTTGACGATAACATCCGAACTATGTGCCTCGAAGCGTCTTATCCAAGCTCTTCATACCCCTTGGGTTCGCGAACCCACTCAGCACCTGCCACACACACACACACACACATACACATTTTCGCACAACAATACCAATCCCTCTGAACTGCGTCACACGACCAAAGTGACATAACTGAAAACCCCGGGGTTACAAATGTGGGAATGCGGTGTGTAACACACACACACACACAAAGTGAACGATTCCTCACGGTTTATTATTCCCTTCCCAACCCCTACGTTTTCTTTCCCCTCATATAAGCTCTAACGGCATCATTATGATCTATTGAAAACTATTGATCCCCTGAAATTGTGTTCTCAATGCGAGTATGGGCATATTTCGGAATTTGAAACATTCCATTTTGGGTTTGCTTGTAGAAGAAATCTGTTGATTCTAGGCCTTTGACTATCGATGTTTACTTGCCGGAGACATGGCCGTTACGAGAGCGGTACATAGAGAAAGACTGAAGTAGGTCAAGACGGTTGGGTTGTATTAAGACACCTGATAGACTCTGGCGTGTCATGTTTGCCGATGGGTGAAAGAAGGCCTGCAAGTGGTCAAATTAAAAACCGACACAAGAATATGAAAATATCCATCTAGGTAACTTGGACGTACAAGTCGCATTGTAAACAGTGGTACTGGTTCATCTCCTGAACTTTTTTGCTAAGTTTGTTTCATTACATTTTGCTTTTCGATTCTTCCCTCTTCTGATTCATTCATCTATGGAAAACATTCATTGCGACATTGAAAATGAAATCTGACAGGCGAAACAAGCCGTTTTTCGATAAATTCATCAACTGGTCATTTACATTTATATAAGTGGAGCAGTTACCAATCGATTAGAGCGTAGTAACTGAAGGAACGTCGTAACCAAGGCGAAGCTCCATCAAATTGTTGACGTACGTAGTATCGCTTAGTACATAGGGTAATCAGATCCACCTCGCACAGGATCAAACAATATTAAATGCTCTACCTATATAAATGTAAATGACCAGTTGATGAATTTATCGAAAAACAGCTTGTTTCGCCTATCATTCATATATGTAGTCAAAAGGTGGCAATCAAGACCGCTGCACGAATGTGCCAGATTGCCGACCGCGTGATCTGAACGGAACTGAATCCATTTTGTTTCTGTAGTTGAAATGCCATTCAAAATATTGCTATTCTATGATGAACTCCGTTTTATCCGGCAGCCTTTGTATGGCCACGACCCTGCTTTCTGAATATTGACTGTACATTTGTATATACAATAAATAAAAAGGAAGTTAAAAGATGTTTACATTTCAATTTAAACTCTGGATGGTTCTCGGTAAGATTCCCTTGTGTGCTACTGTCACTTTTGTCAAGAAGGTAAAACTGATCCTAAACGTTGGTCCATTTCTTTAGAGAAAATAAAATTAACCCATAAGAATCAAGCGAAGATTCCCGAGATTTCATTGAATGCGCTGGACTGTGCGAGCAGTCACATGAGTCCCCATTTCGCCCAATCTTATTGATTACCTCTATCCTGAAACGTTGCAATATCAGTTATCGCGCGCACCTGAGGACAACTTAATTATTTATAATGAGCACGTTTCTTCTGGATCTGTAACAAATTGCACGCCCTCATGAGTAAAACTTTTGCGCTGTTCTTGTTTGCTTCTAATGTAGGGAGGTTGGCGTTTGGGAGTTGGTACTGGATGCTGAAAACCGATTTGGTGAGACAACTTTTTTCCTCTTAAGAATAAGCGTCTGCTTTCCCCGTAATCCATTGCTTTAAACGCGTTCTAATTTAAATTTTATGAACGAAACACTGTTCGAATTAGTTTATTCCCACGTATAAATTCTCTTTATTTGATCATTCCTTCCAATAGACGAGGCTTCACCGAGCATGGTCACAAGACGTCACAGCTCAGCAGAAGTTCATGCGAACGTTCACCTAACTCTGGCTGCGGGCAAGCAACGCGTTGGTGAGTCTCAGAACGCATCCACCTCACATGGTGTGTTGTCCACTGTCAGTACTCCGTCCTCTGTCAATCGACGCCCATCAGATACTGCTAAACGTGGTCGACGGTTTTTCCCCACCAAAACAAATTCCATGTTTATTGGATCCACATTTACCGGTCGACCAGACTCGTCAACTGTGGAACGTGGGGTCGGTGGGATTGTAATCAATACGGATTCGGGGGCACAATCGAGGCGAAATGTGTCTGATAAGGTGGCTGAGGTAAGCTGGTATTTTACCTAGTTCTAACAACAGTTGGCTCTCCTTTGATCCTTTCTCTTTTCCCATCAGCGGCACACATTACGTTAGGTTTTTATCAGCTAGTTTCAACCTCCACTTCAGAATTAGAAGGTACATGTATTCTCTATCATTGTTTTTTTTTCCTTGTACATCGTTTGCCCCTTTTTTCGCTTTGTGTATCCTATGCCGTTTTGTATCCATGTTCTGGGAGATTCGCAAGGGGCTCAGGATTCAATGGTATGTGATTCTATGAAAGTGTGCAATTTCTGCGAAACTTTCACATGGTCTGGTTACCACTAAAATAAGTGTGTGTTCCCCTTTTCACCATACGGAGTATGCAAACTTGTGTCAGTTAATTTCTCCCTCCAACTAAATGTGAATTTCACGAACGCGGGGAATTCGAGGTGATATATCTCTTAGAGGTCTTCATCAAGCAATGTGTAAAACTCCTTGGATCCATGAAAAGTTGATATAACTGGTTAACTGTCGGCCTACCAACGTTACAGGTCGAGTTGTTATATTACGTTTATTCAATCGAGGATTTCACTCTAGAACCAAAAATTGCTTATTTAAGAGTAATTAATGGTGGATTTGATTCAATTTCATAAGGGAATTCGTCGTGTGC